TCCCAACATATGCCTCAAGGCCTTTGAAATGAGACCCGAAGTGCCTACTTGAGATCTTGTCGAGAAACGGCACGAGCCAACTCTTGTGAGCAAATCACCTGGCACAGACCACATTTTGACTATGTAAATCAGCAGACAAATCATTGTGTTTTGCCTGTAAAATGAGGGAGTTCAGACTATTCATCTGTTCATAGGCTCAGATCAAATTCTGTACGGGAGCGCACAAGCCATCTCACTGCAAAGCCATACAGTGAAAGGCAAGGCAGCATTCACTGTATCTTCAATATTAACTTATTTTTCCAAGAGGAAAATGAACTCTGGCTAGTCCCGACTACCTAGATAAAAAAGGAAAAACCCTACAACTCCTTTTATCCCCTTTTTTTAACCAATTTATCTACCTCATGTCAAGGGTGATCTTGAAGAAAATTCCTGGCATATTTTGCGTCAAAAAAATGAATAATAATCATGACTTTTGAAAGCACTTACTAGACTATTCTGTGCATTTGAATATTTTCTTTCACCCTTTAGTCCAGTCTTTATGGGAGTAAATCATACCCTTTAATTAAACATTCTTGAGTATTTGGATTTTATCTCACAGATACACCACACCCTGCTTGTAAAAATTCCATCTCAGGCAGCCAAAGCGCTTGACTTATTCCAAAGATGAGTTATCAATTAGAATATCTATAGATCATACATTTATAATCTGGTGCCATCCCTCCCTGGGGATCCCAAACTTTTATCTGCCAGATTACTTACCTGCAGCTGAAACAGAGACATGACTGGCTGGAATGTAACCCCCGTCTTGTGCAACTCTTCACCACCACTTTCAAAATGAAGAGTGGGAGATAGGTCCAAACGGAGGACGCTTTTAAAACCTTCTGGATGTAAACCCCTTGAATTAAATTCACCTTGCTTAAAATACAGCTGCGGCTATCTAACTCTGCGGGTTTCCTAAAGTCCCCATTCACTTTGTCTCGCTCCGTTCAGAGAAACCCTCACCCTAGTTGTGAACTCCTGCAGGTGTGGCAGTGCAAGCGGGATGCTAAGGGGCATGATTTCACACCCTGAAGCGGTCCTGGGTCTCACCCTCCCCTGGCACGGCGTGCGGCTTCCCAAAGCCCGACGCCAGGGGGGGCACAGGCCCCCGTCAGGCTCAGAAGGGGGAGTGCCCCTGTCTGCCATCACCGAAGGCAACGACAGCTCGCACAATACTTGCCCGAGCCAAGGGGTAAACGCCGGTGCCAGCCGTGAGCTCACCGGCACCGCTCCCCGGCACCACTCACTTGCCAATCTTCTGTGGCATTTTTAGCTCGCTAGGTGCGCCGGCTCATCCCACTCTGAAAACGTTTGGCAACCGAGAACAGCGATAGCTTGGGGCTGCCATGGCAGCCAAACACCCAAACAGGCAAAGGCGAAATGTGAAAGAGAGGAATATTGCGTTACCGGGCACATTAGCCCTCACAGGCAATTTGAAGCACCCAAACCTAATGGTATCCTGGGGTGTATTAAGAGGAGTGTGGCCAGCAGGTCAAGGGGGGTTATCCTCCCCCTCTACTCTGCCCTGGTGAGACCCCACCTGGAGTACTGTGTCCAGTTCTGGGCTCCCCAGTTCAAGAAAGATGAGGAACTCCTAGAAAGAGTCCAGAGGAGGGCAACTAGGATGATAAAGGGACTGCAGCACCTCCCCTACGAGGAAAGGCTGAGAGAGTTGGGCTTGTTCAGCCTGAAGAAGAGAAGACTGAGAGGGGACCTTATCAACACATACAAATATCTTAAGGGCGGAAGTCAAGAGGAGATATTCAAAGCCCGCATGGATGAAGTCCCATGTAGAATGCTCTAGGTGAACCTGCTTTAGCAGGGGGGTTGGACTATATGATCTCCCAAGGTCCCTTCCAACCCTTGCGATTCTGTGATTCTGTGAAAACCGTATCGTTCCTAAGTGCAGAAGGGAGGAGCAGCGCTCCCACAGAAGGAAATCCATAGGAAACCCTGCTGGCATGAAATACACCTCGGAGACAGCCCGCGGGAGTCTCCAGTGGGCAAGCCCCACGCAGGTGATGGAGAGGCGAGCAGGAGCGAGCGGCACCTCCCAGCACCAGGGAGGAGAGGACTTGCATACACTGGTGGGCATTGAGCACGCTGCTGGGTCCTGGTGCAAAGCTCTTCAGCTTTACATGACGCCCTCTCCAGCTCCAGGGAAAAGTCAACAGCCTGGAGGAGCCACTAGAGCCAAGGAGAAAAAAAAACCGGTCTCCAACCCTGGACTTCATGTCACACCCACCAGAGACTCCTGCCCTCCTACAATCCCGCTCTCCTCGCCAACCTTTGATTCATGGACCCTTCCACCTCCTACAAGAAGTGAGGGAGCAGCAGCAAGGAAGCAGCAGCAAGGAAGCGCACTTTGCCTGGAAAAAAAAAAGATAAACACGCTCCGGCTGCAGAGAAAGCAACCTCACGGCAATTTTTCTGGGGAACCGTGCCATGAGCAGGGGATGCTTTCTGGATTTACTCCTCCTCTGCCTTAGCATGCCCTACAGATATGTGGAGGTATTAGTGAGAGAAAATCTCCCAGCTTCGGAAGCGGGATGCAAGTGGGAGGGGGGTTGAAGCAGAGAAGGGAACAAAGAGATCTCTTCCACATTCTCCTCTTGTCGAAGGTAAAGGGGAAGAGCTTTGACAAAAGCGGAATTTAAGCAAACTCCCCCAAAGCAGCAACGTAAGAAAGGCCTGACTGCCCACATGGGGCAAAAACAGTAACACAAAAGAGTAGTGCAAGAGGTCAGGGAAGTTTCATGAGGGGTTTCCCTGAGTCAATGCCATTGAAAACCCTGGCAAATATTGGGCGGAAAAGTTTCATCCAAAATCTCTCACTTGAAGACACTCAGATACTCTTTGAGCTTACACCTGGGCATGAACTTTGAAGCTTGGGCTCCTTTCTGTATAACATAGTGGACTGAATCAAACCTGATCCAAACACCTGCAACATCTGGAAATATGTTGATTCAGAGATGCATTTCACAGCTTTTGTCAATCACCGTTCTATCGGAAGTTACTCCCTAGATTTCCTCCTTTCATTTATTTATAAGCATTTTTGTTTTTAAAGTACTTCTTTATTTATAAGTACTTACTATTTCTCTTATAAAAAGTATTTGTAAGCTTTTTCTTTCTGTTTTGGAAGTACTTTTCATCCATCCTTCCAACTCTGGTCTAAGTTAGAAGCTTTTAAGTATTGCCTCAAACAGATAACTGGCTGGGATGGCAATGTCAGCTTTTTCTGGCCCTCTTCATGTTTCTGTTCTTTTTGGAAAAAAGGATGTTCAGGTTTTAATAAAAGGACTGAAAAATACATTAATCTTTACTAAACCGGTAGAGCCAATTGACAGGGCTCGGACTGGCTGCTTCCTCCCCTCTCCCTTCATGTCCTTCCGCAGTTTCCTCTCCTCCCCTCTTTTCTGACACTTGTTTTTGTTTGGAAGTAGCACGCTCACTCCCGACAGACTTGGACAGGGGATGAGAGGGGAAATGTCTGGATGCATTTAGTCCAATTAAAAGTTGGCATCACATTCAGTCTTTCCAAAAAGCACGTAGGAAACTTTAAACACCAGGCTGGCCGCTGTGAATTGATGCCTCCCCATTTACATTTCCTTGCATCAAGCCACAGAGAGAGTAGGTATTAACTGTCATCAAGCGTGTCTGCCACAAACCCCTCTTTAATATCATTCACAAATGTTCTGCTAAAACCCTTTGTCTTTCAGCAGATCGCTTCCATAATCCCATGCCACTGATGAGTTTTGGCAGAGCTAAGGAGCGCTTGCTTCTGAAACTCGCCTCGCTTTCCTTTTTCAGCTGCCGCACAAATTCTGTAGTGGCGCTCCCTGCCCCATGTCGTCCCAAACTCGCATCGTCCCTTTGAACGACACGTTTGCTAACAGGGCTCCACAGCAAGTCAGCAAATGCGCGCGAGCCCTGCGTGTGTGGCCTGCACGTCGTCCCCAGCCATCCGGCCTTCCGACAAGCCGCTGCTCCTACAAGGAGGAGCTCTGGCCTAAGCCCAAGCAGCGGCAGCACGGCAGCAGCCCCCGCCACCCCACTCCCCGCCCGCAGACCGTGCCCTGGCACCCGTGGGTCCTGCAGCATCCCCAGCAGTGATAAAACCTGGGCTCTGCTGCACAGGGGGTCACAACCCTGAGAGAAGGCACTGAAAGTTTAATTTCTGGGTGAGAAGGAGGCGGCTGAGGAGGGACAGGCACAGCCGGCTCCCTCCCACTACTTTTCTTGCTTTAAACAACTACATCTTGTTCTTCCCACTCCTGAGAAAAGTCCTTTAAAAATGAATGAGACCAGTCATATAAATGAATTAAGGGTCAGTTTACAGTGTTATTAAATGAAATGCTTTATATGCAGCAATTGAAGAGTTTGGTAGATTTCATTAAACTAGATTCAGACCTCAGATGGTTTCTAGAGTGGCTGGAAGGGTTTAAGGAACTGAACAGAAGAAAACCCAAGAAGCCTCGCTTTGCTCAGCATTCACTGCAACATCCAAACCAGCGACATACTTCCACGTGAATGCCACGGCTCTGCCCTCCGACATGTTCGCAGCTCTGATTAATCCAACCACAAGTTAAGGACTAAGTGTACCGAGGCACGTCCCCAGCTGATTCGAGTATAAACTGCATGCCTGGAATCTGACTGCACAGACAGGTCCGCGGGCACCCCTTGCCAGCTGAACGCTTGCCGAGTTGCACATGGACAGAGCCACGATCCGCTTGCCCCGAATTCGCCCTGTGAAGAGCGAGCGGATGCTCTCGCCCTGTGTTCAATACAGGCTTGGTCCGCCCCATTTAAAACACGCTCTTAAGGCGCACTCATGCACTGTAATCTTTGAGGACAGGGAAAATCTCCCGTCGCTTTTTGGTTCTGCGGAAGAAAGGGTGCTCAGCACAGAGCGCTGAGATAAACAACCCGTGCTGCTGGCTGCTCGTTACACGTTTTGGTACCTGCACAATAGGGTGGCCCCCTGCAGATGCCTTCACAGCCCCTCGACTGCCTTCCGTCTCGTAATGAGCTCGGTGGTGGGATTTCGGCTGCACTTCAATACGCAGTTCGTAAGGTCCTGAGTGAGATGGCAGCTGCCAATCAAGGGCAGGCAGGGATGGGCTATAATGGAAAGGAAAACATATCAAAAATTAACATCAAGTACACTATCACAAACCACAAGCATCCAGCGCTATTACTTTAGAGACCGTGTTTCGCAGTTCATCCTTCACCATCTTACATTTAAAATTTCATCAATATGGACAATGCCATGACATGAGTAATTCAGAAGGTAATGGTTATTTTATGATTTATGGGTTGAGCATATCTGATGGCCCAGATGCTATTCCATTTGTAAACAAAGTGGAAAAATGTTAAGACACAGCTTACAAATACCTTAATGTATTGATTCTTGAACCAAAAGGAGAAAGGTAGGCAGAAAGATGCAGGGGAATTTAAGGAAGACGATATCTGCTGTAGAAGCGAATGCCTTACCAGCTCTGGAGGAGTTCTGCATTTAATGAGTCTAATGGATTTCCACAAATCTGCTCAGTTTACAGGGGGCGGAAAGAAGGAAAAAAGCCATTTCCCAGCTTCCTTCCCAACACAGAACACTCTCTTCCAGAGAGTCTGAAAGCGAAGCCAGTCTCTTTCTGGTTCATGCACTGCAAGGGAGCAGGCTCTGAAGTCAGAACTCGCTTACAAACCCTGCTAATGATGACACACAAGCCAGGAGAAAATCCAGCTCGCTCTT